GGGGGGGGGGGTCAATCATTTTCGAAGCCGAATTTTTGGCGACGCTTTTTTTCAAATAAGATTGAATATTTTTCAAGTAAAATTTTATTTTAAGCGCCGCAGACGAAAAATTTTAAAATTTTGAAAGGCCGTAGGCCAAAAAATTCACTAGCTTGCTCCATTGCCTACCCAAATTGTCTCCATATCTCCATTTCGAGAGGAAGGCGATATAAGCTAGTGCTTCGCCGGAAGTTCCGGTTCCAGTATTTCCGCAACTCGCAATCCGCAATTTTTAAATTATGATGCGAGTCCGGTAATAGAATTTGTCGTCTATTAAGTAATATGTATATGTGGATTAGGGAGTAGAGTATAAACGGATTTGTAGTATATAAGTAATTGATATCTTCCTTTTTCAGCGCCGCAGGCGAAAATTTTGACAATTTGGGAAGGCCAAGAAGCCGAAATTCTTCTTTTTTCAGCGCCGCAGGCGAAAATTTTTTAAATTTTCAATAAAAGATGGTAAATTTTATAGATTTTGGCCTTAGTTTAGGCTTAAAAAATTGTTTCGTTTCGTTGAAAAATCACAGGTGTTTCGTAACGAAACGAAACGAAACAAATTTAAAAGTGTTTCGTAACGAAACGAGACGAAACAGTAAAAATCATACGAAACATACGAAACAACGAAACGAAACGAAACGTTTCGCCCACGTCTGATCCTGAGCGCCAGTATCTGAAATTACTTTAATTAATCTCTGATTTTAATAAAATTCTCTTACATTCAATCCCTTTCAGAAATGCAACGATCTCAGCTCCGTTACGCATGTTGTGAAGAGAGTGATCTTCTGTGCTGAGATAGACTTTTCCACAGACAAACTTCTGGCCATAATATACCACAACCATTTTGGCCTTCGCCCTACACAAGGGCTGTTTACAAAAGAATCTCGTTGTAGTCTCCAGCTTTCCTCCTCCAAGGTCGCGTTCCTCCGGTTCAGTTTTTTGCCATTTGGATAAGCTGCCACTAAGTTCTTCTTTCCAGAGTTTGAGGCTGTCTTCGTTGTTGATGGGAATGACATCTCTCCACGGACGGAAAAGCGCCATCATCTGAATAATATAAAGGGTTACAAAATTTATAAAAGGTTTACAATATTATTAATAAAAAATAAATTTAAAACTTAACTTATTTGGTAGACGAGAACGTTGAGGCCAGGTTAGGTTGAAGCAAGTTATATGAAGTTAGTGTTGTGTAGAATCAACTCCTTTTATAGTACATATAAAAACCCATTTTTCTTCGTGTTTAAGGTTGGGGTATGGTTTCGTAACATTTCTTCATGTTACGGACCTACTCTCACTTGGTCTGAGACCGTTCTATACCCTATTCATCGAAATTTCTGAAAGTTATGATTGTTTTTCTGATATTTTTAAAACTTAAGTTTACAAATAGAATTCTGACTTTAAAAATTCTGATATTTTAAATATTAAGATTGTAAAAAAATAAATTCTGATTTTTATAATTGTAATAATGTACAATCAAAAATTACAAAAGTAATAATTAAATCTATTCTGATTTTGTATGATTGTAATAAAAATTATAATTTCAATCAGAATTACACAAATTGTTTAATTGTATTCCCTATTATTTTTGATACTTCAAGTATTTGTTTTTCGTCAATAACCTGAAAAAAATATTCTAATTAAAGACTAAAACAATAATAGCTAAGGAGGTGCAAATCGAATAATTTGTTTGTGTGTATTTTTAGCCAAAACTCCATTTCTTTTAATTTAAGGCAAACATCTTAAGCATTTATTGCTGAAAAATTAAAAAAATTTTTTTTGTAAATCAGAATAATCATTAATAATTATTTAATAACATTCATTAATAAAAATAGCACATAAAAGTCCTTTTCCTCTAACAGAAGTGACAACATTTTTAGGTAATTTATTCAATTCATTAATTAATAAATTTCCCAATTTTAAAGCATTTTCACACAAATTTTCTTCTTTAATAATTTTAATGCTTCTATTGCTATTTTTGCAGATAAAGGATTTCCTCCATAAGTTGACCCTGGTTTTATTGTTAATATAATTTCATCGTCAGCTAAAACTGCCGAAACTGGGTAGAGATCATCAGAAAGGGCTTTGCCTAATGTTACTATATCTGGTCTGCATTGTAATGATCACAACAGAGCATTCTGTTAAGTTAAAGGATTTATTCTAATTAATGCCAATTATCCAGAAATTATCCTCCAACCTTCCCTTTCTCCCCAACCCAGTCTGAACTTAATCATCAACCATCAAAACTCGATTTTTCGTGCACGTACTTAAACATCCCTCGCTAGGCAAAACAACATCCGCCTCTCTTTGCATTGGCTCTACCATAAAAGCAGCACAATGAGGGTCAAAAAATTGCACAATGAGGGTCAAAATTCTGGGGGTATCTTATAATAATATAATAGATTATTTAATACTCATTTTAAATCGAACTCAAGTAAATTCTTTAGCATAACATAATTTATAGGGAAAAATACTTATTTATAAAAGAATAATTAGTTTTAAGTTTCAAGTTTGTAGTTGTAAAGGAATAAGTTCCAAATTTTTGAATTAAATTTGTAATTTAAGTTTTAAGATTATAAGTTGGTTAATAATTAAATTCCAAGTTGTAAGGAATTTTTCCAAGTTTTAAAAAGAAGAGGACGATAAAGAGAGATAATAGAGAAAGAGGGAAAGAGGGAAGTAAAATAAATAATCTTTTCTGCATTTTCAGAGCCTTTTGGTCCAACTTTGGATTTTGAAAAATATTTTCGATTTTGATATTTCTGAAGTTTTTTCGATTTGCGATTTTCGATACACAACTACTAGGGAGCTGAGATTTTTTAATATTGCGAGGACTTTGGTTAATTGTTATTATTTGTAATGACAAGAAAAAATGAGGCACACATATTATGCAATAACTTTATTCAAATTAAAGATAATGGGATCAAAACAAGCTTATATGATAGCGAATTAAACAAGAAATATATATTATATACCTATATTACCAACGGATATTATTATTTTATAAAATAAATGAATTGTGGGATTATTTTAGTCGGTTTATAAATTATTATTTTTTAGCAAAATTATTATTTTTTATGAAAATTATTATTTTTTAAAAAAATTATTATTTTTTAGGAAATTTATTATTTTTTAGGAAATTTATTATTTTATAAAATAAATATAATATTATAATATAAAATAATAAATTTCCTAAAAAATAATAAATTTCCTAAAAAATAATAATTTTTTTAAAAAATAATAATTTTCATAAAAAATAATAATTTTCATAAAAAATAATAATTTTCCTAAAAAATAATAATTTTTAAACCGACTAAAGAAAAATCCAACAATTCATTATGTACATATTTAATAATGGAGGATTAATATGTAGTATAATATCATAGTATAATATAAAATAGAATACATGGTAACAAAAAGAATTGGGCGCATGTTTTATGACATAACTTTATATAAATGGAGATAATGAGATCAAATAAAGGCTATATAATAAAGAACTAGATATAGATAAAGAACGAGAATAATCAAAAAAAAAGAAAAAATTCCGGCCAAGGAGAAAATAAACGTCCATAAAATTGTAAGCCAATCATTTGAAGTACTTAAGAGACTTCACGATGCCCGGAATATTTCTCAGCTTCGTAGCTACATCAACGCGACTATGTGTAGGTTATTTTAGGGGTTTTCAGAAGAAATTTAATTTTTAGATTGAATGACAAATAATGCTGGTTCTAACCTTGCTGCTTGGCTGATGATTTTCGTTGATGTGAGTATAAACAGTAGAGTTGATGTGAGTATAAACAGTAGTAAGTTCAGGTTCCGGAAAGTTCCGGTGTTTTTTTTGGTTCCGGTTCCGGGAACCGGAACTCAAATTAGATCCGGTTCCTCGTACTCTCACTTTTCTTTAAGTTTCCCCCTTTTTGACGAGTGCCGGAAAATTGGGCTCTGGAAAATTGGGCTCCAAGATTTTTCGGAAAATTGGGCTCCAACTTTTCGGAAAATTGGGCTCCAGCGGAAATTTGGGCTCTTCGTGAAAAAAGCGGAATATTGGGCTCTAAAATTTTGGGCTCCAGAGGAATTTTGGGCTCTATGGAAAAAAGTCAAATTATGCAATATCAATGGGGTACGTTGTTAGTATGACGGGGGTCACCGGGGGATGTTGTTCCGTCAACGGGGGATGTTGTTAGAATGACGGGGGTAACGGGGGATGTTGTTCCGTCAACAGGGGATGTTGTTAGAATGACGGGGGTCAACGGGGGATGTTGTTCCGTCAACGGGGGATGTTGTTAGAATGACGGGGGTCAACGGGGGATGTTGTTCCGTCAACGGGGGATGTTGTTAGAATGACGGGGGTCAACGGGGGATGTTGTTCCAACAATGGGAGATGTTTTTCCACCAACGGCGGCGGTACATCGGCGTTACCCCATACAAACATCTCTTTTTTTGAATAATTTGACTTTTTTCCATAGAGCCCAAAATTCCTCTGGAGCCCAAAATTTTAGAGCCCAATATTCCACTTTTTTCACGAAGAGCCCAAATTTCCGCTGGAGCCCAATTTTCCGAAAAGTTGGAGCCCAATTTTCCGAAAAATCTTGGAGCCCAATTTTCCAGAGCCCAATTTTCCGGACACCTTTTTGACGCAATAGTTTTGTTGTAGGTCGAAATTAAGTCGATTTGCGGGCATTTATTTTAATTAACGAAAATTTATAATGCCTATGAGGAATTATCAAATTCCCGAAAAAATGATTCGAATGTCGGCCCGACTCAAAAACGGCAACCCTAGTTACGATATATACGGACTTGACATTTTTAAACTCATCATAAATCGAACTCAATGAAACTATTAAGCATAACATAATTTATAGAGTAAAAACGAAAAAAAATAATAAGTCACAAAAATTTATATAATAAAATGTTTTGATGCTAAAACTAGATATAGTATATAAATCAAAAAAAAAAGAAACCAAAAAAAGTTATGCGAGATAAATATACATTTTTATATTGTATTTGTCTCGTTCCAAATATTCACGTTCAATTAAAGATTCAACCCGAGTTTTGATTAATATTGGGTCTGGCATGAAACGAGTTTTAAGTTGATTGGTAACCTTGAAAAATGACAGGAGAATGAGATTTTTAAAAATTAAAAAAAATATACTTCAGTCACGAGATCGTTATGAAGCAATTTTTTCCTAGCCTTCATTACGCGTACAATAGCTGCCTCAATTTCATGTTTACGATCATCATCAACCTTTAAAAATAAGGAAAGTGAGATAATTCTTCAGGAAAATGCAGTAGTACCATATTTTGTCCAAAATAGCCCTATCCTCTAAAATACCCCCCCCCCTCCCTCTAGAGTTTGATCGAAAAAAATAACCCCATGGGGGTATACGTTTAGGAGGTTTCTTTTCTACTTTAGGACAGAAAGTCGAAAAAACTCATATGTATACCCCCAATTTATTAACTAATTTTGGAGGAACCGGGAAACTTAACGATGAGTAAATCAAATGACAAACAAGCGAATAAGCGACGTTTTTGACACAAGACTTGAGGAACTTGGGGATTATACTTGACTCAAAGTTCCTCGAGTTGATACTTGACTAAAGGGATGCTCGACAGAATAAAGAGAAAAGAAACATCCAAAACCTTAACCAAAAATTCGCCAAATTCCGAGTTCCTCAAGTTGAAACTTGACCCAAAGAACGCCCAAAGGAATTAAAAAAGGCCCGGAAAGAGACCAGAAATTCCCCTAAAATTCAAATAAACATCCAAATTACCCTCGATCGAGTTTCCTTTCGTTCAGGTTCAGTCTCGCTTCGAACAGAAACCATTTGCACTTTAATACGAGTAAGTTTTGAAGTAAAACCATCATTTACACTAAACTCATCATTTGCTTCTAATGAGAAAAAAATATTTTTTAAAAATTCCTTAACAAAAACAACCTATATCTTTTCCGCCACCTTTGCGACATAAAATTCGTTGTGACTGTTTCCCCATAGCAAGGGATTGAAGACAACGTTTGAGCTCTTTTTCGGGGATTTGTGTTTCATTGAGTATTTGCTAGTTTAAAAAATTTGACAAAAAATATTAAAAAAAAACCTCAAAAGTCATTTTCTCGTTAATATTGAAGCGCATAAGTAGGCACATTTGATATGTGGTAACTGTCAATATTTTTTGTTCTTCACGACGACGAATTATTACTGGATGAGGAGGGTTTTTGTTGCTTGAAGAGACTAACATTGAGGAAGAAGATCCGGGCGCTTCGCTTTCCTGAAAAATTCGAATTTAAAGAAAACTCAAGCTGTTACAAGCTTAAAAATGAAGGAAAGATTCTAGGAACATCCGAGACTTTTAAGACTGGCCCAAGACTTCTTTCTGGGGTTTGGTGGCCTTGGTCTCGACCACAAAAGGCCAATCTGCCAAAGATTAAATTATATCTCTCCATCCCCCACTGAAATTCTATTCTAAATAAGTCCCAATCCTGGAAGTCCAGTCATGTCCTTAGGGTTCAAGTGACATAGGAAAATTCCCGTTCCCAAACGGCCCAAGCAAATCCCTAGCCAAGCAATTAAAAAAACCTGTTGACTTGCAAGATCATCATCTCCTCCTGCCGTATTTCGTCTATTTAAATCTCCTTTTGACGCTCCATTAACAAAAAATATAGCCTTAACATCAGCATGCCCCAATCCTGGATTTAATGTAATTTTCCTTCCATTATGTTTTCCAAGGTAAAATTGCTCAAATTGACGGAAAACTTGTTCAGCAGATTGTGGAAGAGTACACATTGCGACTTGGTTATCAATGGGCCAAAATACACTTGTGAGTACTCGAACAGTTAAATCAATCTAATAAAAGTAAAATAAGATTTTCGGGCGAATTTTTGTGTGCAAAAAATTAAAAAATTTTCGGATAACAGTTGCGGACGCTTTTGTCCGCAAAAAAACTAAAAAAAAATTTTGCAGATAAAAATTGCGGACAAAATTTTTGTCCGCAAATGTAATCCGCAAAAATTAAAAAATTTTCTTTAAAATAATAAAAAGTTACCGAATCCTTCTCTTTATAATCATTCATAATAGTGCTAGAAAGCTCCATATCTCTAAACATTCCCTCAATTTTTGAAGTAAATTGGCATCCACATTCAGTTTTTAATTTTGAGATCATTGACTTCTCTGCATCATCTGACAAACTTTTTTGTAATAAAAGACGTTTAGCCAAATGCTGTTTGTAATATTTTTCAAAGACATCTTTTTCAAGTAAAAAGCGGAATAATACTAAAGCTTTATCCAAAACAACTTCAACTTCCCCTTCATTTAACTGAAAAATGTGAAAGAATTTATTTAATTTTCTGTAACAATGGAGTTGAGACCTAGAAATAGGGTTGCCGTTTTCGAGACGGGCCGCATTTTTTCGAGTCATTGGCACATTTTTATCGGGCTGGTCCGACTGAGTCTTTCTCGGGCCAAAATTAGATGCCCAACACGATCTTTCGGACCGGGCCGGCAAACCTACTTATTGTTAGAAAGGTGGGCTGATATTAAGCTTTTAATATCCTAAATATCAACTTTTATCCAAATTTGTAAAACAAAGCTAACACAGGTTATCCCAAACCCGGACAATTTTTGATCCGAAATTCGATAAAAGATCCAAGAATCGCAAACCTGACACGGAAGCCTACCCAACATTTTCCTCTACGCGAATTACCTTCTGGGAAACGGCCATCGAAATTCAAAAAACGTAAGGAATTAAACCCTACCCGACTAAAACATTAACCTAACATTAGAAAAAATTTAACGACAAAATCCTCAATATGGGTGAGATAAATAAACATACCCCCCCCTCCGCCCCCCCCCCCCAAAAAAAATTAAAAAAATATATACCGATCTAAGTCCTTTTTTGAGTTTATCATCAATATATAAAGACAAAAATTCAGGCGCCTTTTGACTAATATTCAAAAAATGTTCAAAATCTGATTGTATACAATTTTTAAAATCTCTGTCATCATTAAAAGCTTCTTGCAAAAATCGATCAAATTGATCCTTGAGTTCGATAAGACTCTAAAATTAAAATCAGTCCTAAAATTAATTAAATTTAAAGGAAACCTGAATAAACATAACAGGATTAGCTCCACCTCCAGCAATATTTTCCCCACTTCCTTCAACTTGTTGCTGTTGTTGTGCAGTATTTTGACTAACAATTGCTGCTCCTTTATCTCTCAAATATCTACTCATTGTGGAAGTCATTGTTTTTGTTCCATTCGGGACTCGTTTTAAAAGTTTGTAGAGACATCTCAAATCTTTTAAAAAATATTTAAAAAAAAGTTTAAAAGATGAAACGACTAGAAAAGTACTCAAGGGTGAATGGATCATTTCAAAAACCAATAGAAATTTTTTAGACGGAACATGTCGGAAATTTTATTAGATCCAAAAACGCAATTTCTAGGTGTTCTGTTAATTAACAGAAAAAATAAGGATCTTGTCCTGATTAAATTTATCAACATCAGACCACAATCCTAATGAAGTACTTAACTAATAATCCCAACAATCTTGAACATGATAAACATTTGTAAATTTTCCAAATACCTTGAATTCGTTCATTAAGCAACATATAAATTAGACCAGAATTTTCCATCTCAACAATAGTAACCATATTTTTAGCAATTAATTCGTCATTTAAAACCTTTAAAAATATTTAAAAATGCTTATTTACTAAATTCCCTTTTTTCGAAAAAAGAAATGAAAATTTCTACAAGGAAGCCGTCAGTTATGCATCTATAGCATAGGTAAAATTGAAAAGATTTGGGGAAGGAAAAAGGAAGAAACCCTTAAGCCTAGGGTTGGAGGCCCGGTCTGGTCCGAAAGATCGAGTCGAATATCAAATTTAGGTTCAAAAAAGACTCGGTCGGGCCGGCCCGATTAAAATAAAGCCAAAAAAATGACTCGAACGTCGACCCCCCCCCCCCTTCCGTTCGATATGCCCCAACCCTACTTAAATCCAAAATCACTCAAAAATCACACAAAAAAATTTAAAAAGAAAAACCTCAATAACTTTCGCTTCAGTTATCTTATCCAAATAACGTTCAGCTCTCTGAACTTCTTCAACCAAACATTCATTAACTTTGTGAATATAAACACAAGCACTATTTTCTGCCAAAAATTTTTGACTTGAACGGCGATAAAATTCTGCAGTTTCACGCAAAAAAAGATTTTCAAATTGTTGTTCATAATATTTTCTGTTGTCTAAACCCAAAGCTATCAACATTTGAAAAACATTTTTTAAATCAATCCTTTTTAAATTGAAAATTTAGGGGACAAAATATTGATATCAACCCAGAAGATAAAGACCCTGAAAATCAAATGACCCAGAAAGTCAAATCCAAATCCCCACTGGCCCTATCCCAAAAAGGGCGGAATCGTTTTTTCATTACCTGCAAGGAAAGGAAAAATGAAAAGGAAAAATGAGACGGATGAACACGAACAGACATAACATGGACAAACAAAACACGGACGGACTCGTGTCAGACCAAATACGGACATCTGTCCGAGTCCGTCCGTGCCTTGTCTGACCCTAGGCCGTCGTATCGTGTCTGTACGAGTCCGTTCGCCTCCATTTTTACTTTCCATGCTGGCAATGAAAAAATGATACAGCCGTTCTTTTGGGATATTGAGATCTCGAACAACTGTCGGATATTGCAAAAGAGGAAACAAACGTATTCTTGATATTGATAAACCGGAACTTATATGGTTTGGGTACTCTTTTTTTTAGCCACGCCCTTTTTTCCTTTAACATCATTATTCTTTTACTCTTTTTCACTCTCAACCATCAATCAATTGAGTTCAGGTCTATTTTTTGTTTAAATAAAGAGAAATAGAGCTGACTCGTATGACTCATCGAGCTGGGCTGAGACGTATGGCACTAAACTCGGTCCGTGAGATCTCTGAGCTGAATTACAGGGGTCCAAAAATTTCTAAAAAGGGGTAAAAGGGTCGGCATTTTTTAAAAAAATATGATTTTAAACACACAAAAACTGGAAAACACAATAAAATACCGGACCATTAGTTCCAAAACGTAGAACCGGGATACCTATTGCCATTTAAATAATTGAAAAAGATAAAAATAAGAATATTGATTCAAATGTTAATTCTATTTTGGTGTCTTTTCCTTGTTAATGTCTCTCACTGAAAATGCCACAGGAAAAGTTAAGTAAAATCGAGGAAGAAAGAAAGCCTGACCATTCTGTCCATATTAAGGTTGATTGATGAAGGAAAAGGAAAAAAGGGCGTGGCTAAAAAAAGAGTACCCAAACCATATAAGTTCCGATAAACCTTTATCCACCTAGATATTTGTATTTGACCTTTTGGGTAATTTGACTTACTGGATCTTCATCTTATGGGATGACCCAAAATTAAAAAAAAAGCAAACCATTCAATAATTTCTTTTTGTCTTTCAATTGAAATAAGTCCCAAAAGTGTTGCTTTTAAGTGTTCATTAATTGGCGGATAGTCAACAATTTCTGTTCTAAAAATCCTCAATCCTAACGGATAAACAGGTTCAACACCAGTTTGGGTAACATAAACACGGTCCAAATACATTAGAATATCGCGTATCATAACCTTTTAGAAGGAAAAAAATAATTGAGGGGAAAATGGTATACTAAAGGTAACAATGGGCACTTAAGACACGAGGCAGTGTGTGTCCTTTGTTTGGAAAAGAAAAATTAAACAAGGGATATTTATGAACTTCAAAGGTCAGATATGACTCAAAAACCCTCTAGTTGTGAGCAATTCTGGGCAGAATCCCGCGTCTGTATTTTGCACATTCTTATGAATCGGGGAATTTATCTCGCAAAATAATGTCCCAAAAATTTCTAGAAAAGAATCACGCATGCGGAATCCCGCAAACATGATGTTGTTGGTATCTAGTCCCTAACAGAACACAGGCCTGGTGGTAGAATGGGGCGACTCTTTTGACTTAGGTGCCGAAAATAATTTTCCCCACCTGGCCATCTCCACGAAAAATTTTTACTGGCCATGGGCCTTATAGAACCACGTGTGTGAATCAAAATTAAAATACCATAGAGGTTGTATGATCAGTCCAAATCCGATTCAAAGTTTCCAAAAAACGTCCATTTATCGAGTCAAGAACAACATCCCTCACCTAAATTGGTTTTAAATATTAAAAAAATTTAAAGAATAACCATAGTCTGTAAATGTTCTCTAACAACTTCCTGAAGTCCAGTATATAATTTATCTGCTTGTTTATGAAGAACCTGAAAAATATTTTTTTAATCATTTAAAACATAAAGTGGCAAGTTTAAACTTTAAGGGCCCCCATTTTGATCTCTCATCAACTTCGCTTGTTTCATGTCTGGCAACTAAATCAGTTATAACGGACTAATTTTGGGTAGCTATTAACTTAAGTTGATTGTTCGTCCTAATACAAGGGGTAATATTGAATTTCGTACCCCTGAATTCGAGTTTCCTCCCTCCATTTTTCCTTCATCAAATATCACATAATGGACAGTCTCCTTTTTCACATACACTGCTAATAAAAGGAAAAAAGGGTTTTTCACTATTCCTATGGAGACGAAGGTCTGAATTACCTCGAACATCGATATAATGTCATCTCGATTTAACGAACTCGTGGAAGCCCTTAAAATCCCCCATAAACCCCAATAAAAATCCAAACCATTGTGTACGAATTCCTGTAAAGCTCCTCAAAACTCAGCCCAGAATTGTTTTTCCTCTGAATTTCTTGAATCGCCTTCTTCAACAAATCCCAAGTTGAAGAAATATATGAATCGTCAACTGCCGACTTAATTTTTTTTTTAAATTAGTATAAAAATATTCAAAAAAAAGCTTACTGGAAAAGCTCTAATTCGCATCTTTTGGGGAGGTTGTTGCATAACGAATTAAAAATAATTTTAATCTTTTTTAGTTAAAATCCTTTAAAAAATCCTCTAAAAATGCAAAAAACAATAAAGTAAACGTAAAAATAAAAGCTTAATTTGTGGAAAAGAAAACTGTTGTTCTCAATTGATTGAAGCCGACTGCTGATGATTTTAAAGCCGATAAGGGACTTTAGAGTATAGCAGATACAGTCTTGAGGCCATATTTTGGGCCATAACTTTTTTGATTCTTAACCGATTTAAATAAATATTATACCAATCGAAAGCTCTTGAAGAGGGGATTATTTAAGTTAACAGGCTCAGTTGATCAGATCATCCTACAAAAAGTTACAGTCTAATAAAGCCAAAAAATCACGATTGCGCGCAGTTATCAAGTTGTAACTTTTTGTAGGATAATCTGAGCAAATCAGTCCTGTTAGCTAAAATGTTCCCCACATCCAGGGCTTTCGATTGATATAAAAATTATTTAAATCGGTTGAGGATCAAAAAAGTTATGGCCCAAAATATGGCCTCGAGAATGAATCTGTGATACTGAAGTGTCCCATTTTCTTTTAAGGCCGATAGTCAAAATGGTAAAATTTAAAAATGGTAAGTTGTGAAAAAATTACATTTCGTCGACCAGTGAGAAATTAAATTCGTCTAGGAAAAATGAATACGGTATTTACGTTTCTGTAGATATTTAAAGTGAGATAGACCTCCAGTATATTGTGATTGAGATAAGGCATACAGTAAATTGTTTAAAAAATTTTTTATAGTTTCAATTTTGGTATAATTTTTATTAAAAAAGTGTACCAAAATACAAACTTGTAACAAAATACAATTTCAAATGTCTAGCAAGTAAAGCTAAAAAATAACTTTTAAAGTTTACTAAATTGGAAATTTAAAATTATGGAAACAAATTTAAATAATTTGTCGAGACTTTAAAATCGAAAAAAAATAAAATTTCCTAGAACGGACTCGAACCCTCAGCATATCTCCCAAAATTCAAGAACACAACCAACTTAACCAAATTTTCATCTTGCAAGTTTTAAGAAAAATTAAACGGAATGACAGACTGGCCTATCGGAATTCTACCGAAATTATTTTTCTGGTTTCACGGCCTACGGCCACTAGTCTTAGATTGAGGAAAAAAGTTTTCATGTCTTAGAAACAGCGAAAATGCGCAAGAAATTATTTTTGTTGCCATGATACTAGTGTTTTACTGGAACCGAAATTTTGACCGGAACCTGATCCAATTTGAGTTACAGAAACAGAACCGGAACTTCCAGAACTCTACTCTTTACCTTGCCATGACCTCAAAAAAGTTAAAAAATAAAATTTTCGAAGACAATTCAAGAACGCTACCAACTTGGCCAATTTCTTTGGAGCAAGCCTTGTACCGCGTGGCCTATCGCCGAGCTATAACCCTATTTAAAATTATCAAATCCACGATAGCTGGACCTGCGGTACATTGAGGTACCTCACCATAGTTATTAGGTGGAGGAGGCTTTCGAAAAAAGTTTACAGTCTTGATACGTCTCCCTAGTAGGCCTGTCAGCAATTAAAAAATTCAAGTCGGCAACCCTGCTCCCTACATGTCTCTCTAAGGACAAAACATTTGCAAAACCATTTACACATATAATTAGCTAAATATATATTTTTCTATTTTTAAAATATTTACTTCCATTCTCTTAATCTTTTGTTCAAAAAATAAATACGACGCGTGTTACTATATTTATACACTTTTAATCCTCAAAAAATTATATTAGTCACAAAATGAATATTTAAATAAAAAAATTTATTTTCTGAGATAAAAGTGGTTAAAAAATAATTATTTATTTATTTATGTACTTTCTATATTTAATTTTTGTCCCTGCAAAATAAACGAAAAATTAGCGAAAAATTAGCAAACGTGCAAAATTTTAAAGGAAAAAAATTTTTTTTCCTTGTAAAACCATTTTTAGATTGAAAGTCCATTTTTAGTTTAATTTTAATTTTTTTGAAAAAATATATATTTTGCAAAAATAATTTTTAAATTATTTTTGTGCTTAAAGGTATAGAGTTATTTTTGTATGTTTTGTTAAAAATAATTATAAAAAAATTTTTTGCACATTATTTTGCATATTATTTTTTGCAAAATACAAAAAAAATTTTTTAATTAAAATTAAACTAAAAATGGACTTTCAATCTAATAATGGTTTCACGAGGAAAAATATTTGGCTCAACTACAGTTTATGACTCCAATCAAAAAATACCTAATTGGATTTTTCTTGGTGTTGCAAAGTTGGGGTATGGTACCAAAACATGTCTTCATATTCAGGACTTACGCCCATTGGGTCTGGGACCATTCCTTGCCCTATCTCTCGAAATTTAAAAGTTATAGCCAATTTTTAAAAATTTTGGAAAACGATTTTAACTCTCATATATTTCGAGGGATAGGGCAAGGAACGGTCCCAGACCCAGTGGGCGTTTTTCTGAAATTTTTTCCAAAGGGGAAATTTTTTTCAGTTTTTGGGTAATATTTTGGCTTAAAAAATAGGTAATGTTTCGTTAACGAAACACAAGTGTTTCGTTAGAAAACGAAACGAAACAAATTAAAAACTGTCCCGTTACGAAACAAAACGAAACAGGAAAAAACAACGAAACTAACGAAACCAAACGTTTAGCCCACGTCTGGTCCCTGTTATGTACGTGACTTGTATGTCTACGTACTAACAAGAATAAACACAAGATAAGACAGTAACTAACAAACTGTGCTTTATCTACAAGACTAAATACAATAATAGTGAAGGTGGCAAAAGGCAAGAATGAATAAGGACAGACGGCGCCGGTCGACCCAGGTGTCGACCAAGACTGATCTCTAACGACTCCTTTTATACTAGACCCAGCACATACCTAACAGTCCCGAACATGAAGACATGTTTTGAAACCATACCCCCACTTTGCAACACCAAAAACTGGTTGTTAAACTGTTAAACGTACACGAAAGGTGTCATATACAAGCTGGGCCTGACTCTACTTTTTCCAATTATTTTGCGAATTTTATATTTAAAATTACAAACTATAAAGAACAAATTTTTTTTGCTAATTTATTTTTTATAATAAGAAAAAATTATTTTTAAAATAATTTCATAAATAATCTGCATATTAATTAATTATTGTTTTTTGCAAAAATAAAAACATGGCCACTTAATCCCCCTCCCTTCCAACGTCAAAACACCATTTCCGTTATTTGTTACAAAATTTTCTGTAAAATTATTTTTTTGTTAATACAAAATCTCTTTTAGGAATGCGCGTTAACGAGATTAGCCGAAAATAAAAATAACAAAAAATAAGGTAAAATTAATGAGGAAACGCCGGAAACAGTAGAAAAAAAAATAAGAAAAAAAAATAAGAAAAAAATACAAAAATTTATTTTCTGTTGCTAAAAATATACGTAAAAAGGAAAGCTCTAATTAATATTTATATTTATTACTGTAATTCTTAAAAAATAATATTTTTTTATATTAAGCAAAGTTTAAAGTTTAGTTTTTTTCTGTTATGCTCCCAATTGTAGGAATGATTCATCTAGGAGCATTTAAAATGCTTAGGCGGGAGGTTAAAAGGATATATAATGTCGAAAAAGGATCAAAAGGACAACACTTGCATGCATAGCTGGGCCGGCGCTCGTTTCGTATCTCATGAAGATCTCGTATTTTCCGAGAGATCTCGTATCTCGTGAATCCCGTGTCTCGTATTTTTTGGCAATAGCGACGACACCCCTGATGCATAGGTGTATGAGAGCAAAGTTTAGAATCCTGTCCGATGGTTGAACTTTTGTTAAACTCCTACGCAATGTCCGCAGGTTCTATACTATGGATCTAGCCGATTCGATTCCCGAAAATCTCGAATTTAAAAAAATCGGGAATTTACCGAATATTTTGGGTCATGAATTGGAATTTAGTTTCATGTGAATTTATGAGTACAGTGACAGGCATTTCCAAGACAGGCCAATTGCTAAACGTCAATTCTTCAAATTTTTAAATCATGCCAAAATTTCATGGCGCACATACCTGTCTGTCTGATCTAGTTTTGCTTTCTTCAATATATAGAATTATTGTTCAAAAATAATAAAAATTGTAGCTTTTGGTATCTATAACTAAACTGCCTTCGAATAATGAAATTTAGTGTTAAATTACCCACTTGTACAACCTTATTCATTTTTATCGTTGCCAAAAGCCTTTCTATGATCCATTTTATTAGGTTCTGTTATATCGTCTGTGAGATTTTGTATGCTAATTTTTTTTACTATAAAAGTTCGAGGGGACTTATAAGCTGTCATAGGACTCAGAAAGTTGTGAACAGACTAATAAACATTTATTGGACTAGACTTTATCAAGCTTTTGGGTTAAATAGCTTTAAAGCTTGAACATGCTTCTAGTTCTTTTTTTGCCTATTCCAAGTCCTCTCAATTAGAATAACAAACAAACAACAATAAGTACAGACAATTTAAAAAGGAATTTACTACCGTCATTAACTGAAGAGTTATTTAATAAACTAATACGCTTATCCTTCTTATAATCATTTCCTCCTTCTAAAAAAGTGCCACGTTTTGAATGACATATTTTCTTCTTCTAAATATTTTTAATTATTTAAAAGGACACAAATTCTTTTAAAAAATGTAAATAGTAAATATTACATAATTTATTTATTTAATAATTCTATTTTTGTTTCGAATATTTCTTAGAATTATGTGTATATGTGTATTTCGTGACCGGACAATCCGTCAGTGGACAATCCGGCAGTGGAAAATCCGTCAGTGGACAATGCGTCAGTGGTCGGACAATCGGTCAGTGGACAATCCGTCAGTGAACAATTTTTAATTCCTACCCTTACCCAAACTATCGCGCCTAAAAATTTTCATTTTATCATGTTGGGGTAACTAAAATATGGAGAAAATATATACGAGATAACTAAAATATGGAGAAAAAAATTTATTAAAAATAAATTTTATTTATTAAAAATAATTTTAATTTAAATT